GTATGTATGTAGATATGCTTCATTAAGGAGAGGGGCAGGGTATATATGAGAAGCGAATCTGCTGAGTAAGGACTCTACCTGATACCATATTAACAGTCTACCTGGTCTTCACTATCTACTCCCCATACTCCAACTTAACTAGTTGTCATGACATTGGCAGACAAAACTCAAGACAATCATAGGCTCCCTACTGGTCTGCCACTATGATGTATTTAGAATTCAAGTCTTCCCAGATCCTGTTTAGCAGCCCAAATAAAACAGCAACAATAATAAAGGAAGTTCTACTGCTTAAAAAAAAAAAAAAAAAAAGACAGTGAAATGTAAAGAAATTGTTAAAATAACTTCTTCTAACATAAACCTATAATAGAGAAGAGTCTGAGTCAGGGCAGCTGCATTAACCTTAATACAATTAATAGCCAAACTATTACACACACATGACCTACCAGCCTCCATGCTGTTTGCTGACCCTGCACAGCAGACACATGTGTCACAACTGCAGCCAGATCAGAGTTGAAGGCAGAGCCCTGAAATTCACATTTTGTTGAAACGGGGTGTTTTCTGAAGCATATTTACATCTCAGGCTTACATCATGTCTTTACATTTTATAAGGCGTAATTTGAAATTTTCTGGCCCACTCAGATGTGAGCCAGAAGACAATGGAAGTATTCATTACTTTTGGCATGATTCTGTCTGTTTCTAGAAGAATCTTAAACTGTCATTGACCTCAACACACTTTTCAGCTTAAACCCCCATACATCTATGTAAGTCAATGTGTTCTTTTTGTACTTTTGCATTCTACTCCAAACTCAGCCACAAAAGTAAACTTTTGGCAAAAATGGTTTAGATTCAATAAAATGCCAAATAAGATTTGCCAAAAGTTATCGTCTCTTATATTTTAAGCCTCTGTCTATTCTGAGCAAAAGGCAACCCACATGTCTCTAATTCATTTGTACTAAATGAGGTGAAATATTTTGTCAGTAGTCTGCTGTCTAAAGACGTTTGAGATTATTGAATTAAGTTTCTCTTCTCCTTGTCTTCATGTCCCCATTGATCTGAATCCAAATACTTACTTTATATCTAGTGAAGCTCAAATAGTAAGAGATTTTTTTCGGCTTAAAGCCTAGTAAAATGTGTACCCTTGTTTCTCACTCTTTATCAAAGTATTTATGACCTGGTTATTTATTTGAATATAGTCTTCAAATACTTAACAAAATCTTACTAAATTATACAGTTTTCTTTGATGCTAAAACAGAAAAAAAAAGAAATCTGAATATAAAAAAGCATGTCCCAGTTTGTATCAGAATAAAGATTAAATAATAATCTTCTTGTTCTTTTCACCATTTGACTCTACTTTAAATAAATCAATGTAGATTAACAGCCTCTTTTTCTGTTAGCAGCATCCAAAACCATGTGTCTTTTCCCATATTAAATATTAATACATAGATTTAATATGGAAGAGTTGGCTTTTTCTGACCACCCTTCAACCACAATCATACGCATCCAGTCCCTATGTACAATTTATGATTTTTCTTTGAAAATAATTGCACACATCTGTTGCTATCTTGTTCCAGTATTGCAAAAATAAAAACAAAAAAATTAAATTCTGCTGAAAGTCAGGTATGCTGATAACATTCTGCAGCCTGATACACTTGAAAATACTGTGCAACATGCAAAGGAAATTTCATGAAATGATAACCCATAAAAGAGTTATGTGAAGAACAGCCATGGACCTATAGAGTCAGGGCACTAAAGCATGGGGACAGAGACTGTTTTCCAAAGAAATAGGTTCCCTAACCTCAATCTTTATGTCAAATTGACTGAACCCATGTCAGAAAAACTTTTCTTTAAACTGCCCATATTGTTGCTTAAATCTATTTTACCACATCAAGTCATCTGTAAACATTCAATCAGCTGGATCCCAAGCTCTCCTATAGAAACATGTTATATTCCTGAAAATTATCAATGGGTTTGGGAAGGGTATAAAGAAATGAGACACTGATAACTGCTTCATGATGGAACAGACTAGAGAACAGAGCACAGTTTACTGGGCAGTTACACGGATGTTGAAGCCAGGGGGTTGGGGTTTAAAACCTCACTCTGCTATCTACCCACATATTCTCTTTGGATGTTACCTAACCTCTCTGTGCCTTTGTTTCCTCAAATAAAAGAAAGGCTACAATGGAAATTATTTTATATAACTGTCATAGAATTAAATAAGCTAACACTTGTACAGCAAATGTAGCCTACTCCTCCCCTGCCACCTTACAAATAGCTCATTCATTTCTCACTCTTTGTCTTTCTAGAGCCCACTGCCTGTGTCTTTGTCAAAACCTGCCCAACTAAAGCATTAAAACCAGGCTACCTATCCACCTCCTCATGGAAGAGCTCCAAGATTAATTCTATTTAATGCCAATCTCAATCTTACCTCAGGACTTGAGTAGTGATTAAAGTATTTTTACAGAGATTTATTGTGTTGAAGTCATATCATTTTATATGTCTGATGTCTATCTCCCCAATTAGAAAACCAGCTCAAGAGCAGAAATACTTTATATTTCTCTTTTGTTTCTCGCCTACTCTATTTCCTTATTTTTACCACACACACATATACTTTAAAGTTCAAAACAGTTTCCTTAGTTCATTCATTGAAGAGGTCAATGTCACTAAAAGAGACATTTAACTTAAAATTTTTAAAAATTTTTATCGATACATAATAGTTGTACAAAGGTATATGTGATATTTTGATGTAAGTATATAATGTATAATGATGCAATCTGAGTAAAGCTTATTATTTCTTCGTGCTGAGAAAATTCCAAATCTTCTAGCTATTTTGAAATATACCCCTACATTGTTAGCTATGGTCACATTATTGTGCTATTAAACACTAGACCTTACTCCTTCTAACTGTATTTTTATACCTATTAATCATTCTCTCTTCATACCCCCCTCCCCCACTAACCTCCCCAGCCTCCAATAACCACCATGCTATTCACTACCTCCATGAGATCAATTTGTTTTAGCTCCCTCGTATGAGTGAGAGTATGTAATATTTCTCTTTCTGGGTATAAATAACATAAAATTTACCATCTTAGCCATTTTTCAGTGTACAGTTCAGTAGTGTTAAGTATATGCACTTTGTCATGCTACTAATCTCCAGAACTTTTCTATTTTGCAAAACTGAAACTCCATACCCATGAAAAGCTCCCCCATTCTTCCTTCCCCCAATCCCTAGTATTCCTATTTTACTGTTTCTTTGAGCTTGACTACTCTAGGTACCTCATAAGTGGAATCATGCAGTATTTGTCATTTTGTGACTGGCTTATTTCACTTAGCATAATATCTTACAGCTTTATCCATATTGTAGCATGTGTTGGAAAACCCTTCCTTTTCAAGACTGAATAATATTCCATTGTAGGATAAACATTTTGCTTATCCATTCATCCACTGATAGACACTGAGGTTGCTTTTACCTTTCAGCTATTGTGAATAATGCTGCCATGAACATCAGCATTTGCCACATACTATATATATCTGAGACCCTGCTTTCAATTTTGGGGGATATATAGCTAGAAGTGAAATGACTGCAAAAGAGTTTGATATCTAATAGTTACAGATATTTTCACTGCTATTAATCATTGATACTCTATTAATACTACAGTCAGTTATTGAATGTCAGACCTTATACTACACACTGGGAATGTAAAGATCAATAGGATATGCTCCTTACTTTTAGAAAGCTCACTCACAAGATTTCAACTTCATGATGTATAAACATTGATTGAGTACATGTGAGTCCTAAGAAAGAGGAGAAAGGCTTCATAGGGGAGGTCACTTTTGAGCTGATTCTCAAGTTATAAGTAGAAATTTACCAGGTAGAGGATCAAGGAAAGGCATCGTAAGGGAAAGAAACAATAGGTACAAAGACAGAAGTGGTGGAATAGCACAGTAGACTGAGGGAATCATGAGGTCAGTGTGGCCATAACATAAGCTGTGAGGCAGGAACCAAAGAATGAAGAACTAGGCTGAGGCCAGATTTAAGTTTGATTGTGAGGGACACCGGGTGACAAAATAGGAGTTAAATTTAACTTGTAGGCAAAGGCATTTTCGGAAGGGTCTGTCAGGAAAGTGCTGATGTGAATTGCTTCTGAGAAGATTAAGAGAGGGTGATAGGGAAGATTGGTGCCAGAGATAATAGAAAAAAGCCATTGAAAAAGCACAGGTAAAAGATAATGAGGGCCATCCTTTTGTTTGGTTATTTTTGGTAAAAGTGACTGCTGAAAAGGGTGTGGAGGCAGAATACCAGAGACTAAACCCTTGCTACTCCCTTGTTAGCTGTCACTTAACCTCTCTGAGCTGTGGGATCCCATCTATAAAATATGAACAATAATACCCAGAGGATTATGAAGATTGAGCAAAGTGATGCGTATGAATGTGCTTTGTAAACTGCCACATTATGTGCAAATGTAAAGTTATCTCAATATTATCGTTATATACTCATCCATCTGATAATTTATTCAGAAAAGTGCATTATTTTAAATGTATTTTCCAACTAACAAGTTATTCTATTTTCACTAATAACACAAGGTTGAATAAATCAAACCTCATTAAATAGAAGTCAATTCTTTCCAGTCCCTTGCATTTAAAATTATTGATGTAAAATGGTGTGGTAGGGAAGAAAATGGAGCTGACTAATCATTTCTGATCTACGTGGATCCATTTTTGCCCATGTTTTCTCCAAGTTACTGACCTTTACTATCAGTGAGGACTACAACTTTTCGACATGTATAAAACCCAAAAAAGTTCTTCTGGCGTAACCTTTCAGTTTTTCTCAGTCATACACACACAAAAAAGATAGAAATATGGAACATTTGTCAAGATGATTTCATATCCTGCAGATGGGCATTATATAAATGCAGGTGCTGTTGGGTTATTTAAAGTGCTGTGGATGCAAAGGAGGACATTTTAGTTTTGAACTGACATAGACTCTAGACACAATGATGATAATAGGAGTTAGCAAGACTGTCCATTTATTCCATGCATTAGCAGCCCTGAATTGTACATTTCCCAGCTACATCATGAGAGGAAGGCATGGCAGCCCTTGAAGGTTTGTGGGTTTTTCTCCCTGAGAAGAGACAGAAAGAAAATAGCAATTATTTTTTGAATCTAGAATAAATTGCTAAAAATTTGACTTGGAAAAGTAATCATGGAATTGTGAATACTCTTCCTTTCACATGTGAGGAGTCAGAGGATAATCGTTAAAATGATTTCGAGGAAAATTTTTAACTAAGCAAAAGAGTTAACATGTCAGTCAGAAAGAAAGTAATAGGTTGTTTGCATTGACTGGGCCATGTGTCAATATTTTTGGCACATACACTTTGAGTAGGATAGTAATCCTTGATATACAGGGTAAATTGCTTAGCATTTCAAATATCCCTTCAGTTTTGGGGAATAAGTGGTGATGAAGTTCAAAGTGTGGCATGTTGTACCCTGTCTTCAGATATGGCTGCAAGTGTGTACTTATCTGTCTAGCACTAGAATTCTGGGCGGATTTCTTTTACTGGCTCTGTCTCTGGTTTAGTAGAGCTGCCACCTAGGATGCCATCTACTTCCCAAATCAAAAACTTACCCTCCTCCTTCTTGGTTTCTCTTGCCATAGCAGTATCACTTTTTCTTTCAAATACTGTTTGAATTGTTACTTTTTGCCTCCAAATAATAGTTGGTATTTTATTTATATTTTTTGCCTTCATTGTTTCCAGAATGAACCTGAATCAGAATTACAGTAACATTTTAGTGCATATCTTAGCAAATATTTTCACATATTCTGTCTGTTTGCATTCTCTTCCAATATCTTTATCTATGAATATTTTTTCTTTTTATCTCTTGTGGTCCAACCCTTTTGCCATGTCAAGTTGGTTCCCACAGTTTGAGAAGTGATTTGGAGGGAAATCTTTTTAACTAAACAAAAGACAACACCAGTCAGAAAATAAGTAATAATACCCAATATCTTTAATTCTCAATATGTCTAACTATCTATGAGGATTTCTTCTTCTTATCTCCTGTTGTGTAGACCTTTGGCCATGTCAGATTGGTTCCCATATTAGAGGAAACTAACAACAGGGATGTGAATAGTGAACAGGACACTATTTGGTGAAATAAATCCCAGTGAGATAATTCGGACATTTTCCCCAAAGTTACAAATTAAAAATTAAGACGACCATTACAAGTCAGTAGAGGTAAGTTAGTCAAACTCAATCAAAACCTAGAGCTTAGGCACAGCCAGTAGGTAAGAGGGTGATAAATAAGAGACTGCATAAAAGCTGCTACTACAGTCAGCAGGACGTCTTAAACAACAACTGTATCCTAAAACACACCAAAACAGATAGGTAGGTAGGGAGGTAGATAGCTAGCCAGATAGACAGACAGACAGATATCAGTCACTGAGAAGTCAATTTGTAGAAGAGAAAAAAATATATATTCTTTAGGCCATGTCATATTCGTAACAATTTCAAATACCTTAATTGGTTTATCATTTTCCATAGCAGATAAAATCATTTAGATAATATATGAAAAGAGAGAAACCACTTTCATGGATATACTTTGCTTTCCTTTAAAAGGGTCTGTAATTCACCATAACAATATCCCCCTATAAGCTTCTGTGAAGCAGTTTCCCTGTGCACTGGGTACTAACTTGTCTGAGTCCAGCAAGACAGATCACACACATATACAACAAACAGCACAAAGTGAGTTTATTACGTACAGATAGACATCAAGAGACAACAGAAGCTTAGGATTCAGGATGAGTTGGTCACCCAAGACTCGGGAAAACACTATCCAGAACAAATGTCTTGTCTGCAGGTGCCCCACTTGCACAGCAGCTGAAGGACCACAGAACGCAGCCCACTCTGGGTTTTATACCCTGGGTCCACGTGATTCACTGGGCTAAAGCATTGTAATGGACATTCTGTGTCTTAGAGGAGAGGGGACTAGAACAGAGTCCAGGCTATCTGGTTGGTCTCTTCCTATCTCAGGACATTGCATTCTCACCACATTCTAGAGTTATTCTGAGAACCGCAAGCAAAAAAGGGGAAAAATTGGATCAGTCCAAGGCTGCCCACAGAACTGCTCTTTAGCAACATGTTCCGAGCTGTCAGAAAAAAAAATACCACGTTATATTTATTTAGAAACCTTCTTAAGAATCTTCCAAGGTAATTTTGCTAATGGGTTGTACATTAACCTTGGAACTTGATCCCCTAACGTAGGTGGCTCTGTTCTGGTAGCATCCAGCATTTGGAGAGGCAGTGCAGTGTAAAGCAGGAGTTAAATGCTGTCATTCTGGAGCCAAGTTGATTGGCTTCCAATTTTTTGCCCGGGCATTCATTCACTGTGACTGGGTATGTTGCTTACCCCACCATGTCTCAGTTTTCTCATCTGCAAATAATAGTTTCTCCTCCTTAAGGAGGGACTCCACATTAGAATGTTAAAACCACTTACAAAACTTGGTACAGATTTAAAAAAAAAAAAAAAAAAGGACAGAATTACTTTCCTTCCATTTTCTATTTTTCAAAGCCAAAGTCCTGCAATATTTAGGGTACCTGACTAATGTTCCTATATCAAAACTCAAGCAATACTGGAAAAAGCGTCTGCCTTCCCTTGACATTAGCTACCACTATGGTTGAAAGCAGTGCCACAGTTGCAAGATTTCACATGTGGGCTAAAGAATCCAGCCAAGTCTTGGAGTTACCCAATTATCCTAACAGGAACAATGAGCTGTGTTAAAACTGAAAGCCCTCCTTGACAACTAGTTGAAACTCGGTCCTCTAGTCACATACTCTCAAATCATCCTGTAATTCTCCATCATACCTACCACGATTTTATTTAAATAATTATGTAGTGTCCACCACCCCCTGTTCCTGTCATTACCTAGCCCTCATGCCCCAGAATGTAAACTCAATGAGGATTTATCCAGTCCTCCAGTCTTTAACATAACACTTTGGGCAAAGCAGGTACTCAATAAATATTTACTGAATGAATAAATGGTAGATGGCAATTATATACGTGTATAGATTTAGGTATTTTCTACTTTTAAGTGTAAGCTATGAGTCAGGAATGAGACCAACATCCATTTCTAATATTGTCAGTTTCAAAGCCAACTATACGCATCACCATGTAAGTGTTCACTCATTTCATCTGAATTTAACAAACACTTCTTGAGTATGACCATGTGCTACGGTGCTCAGGATATAGAGATGCTTTCAACAAGTTCACCCTCCGCACATACCCTTTTCCCAACCAAACACACCAGTGGGGAAACTTTATAGTATGATTTCATTAAACAAGCATTTGTTGAGTGATTATTGTGTACTCTGTTAAACATCTCTAGCCTGTGTTTATTCCTTGGGTCTTCTTTTAAAGGTAAACACAGGAACACTTGCTCCCTATGTTATGTATTGTGTGACTTTGCCTGTGAATAATCATTTCAGAGGAATAAGTGGGTTCTTCTGGGTGAGCCACATCTGTGTTTGCAGCAATGCTATGTATTTGTCGTATATAGACCAGGAAGTGTTGGAGTTAAAAATTTAACTTAGTTTTTCATGTTTAGTTTTTACCCTCCTAAGTTCCTTGCAAATCCAATGGCTTGCCACAGTAGCATGCTTTCAAGTCAGGGAGCCTATCATTTCCATCTTAAGACTCTGCTATCTCAACATTTAACTTGCAAGGTTTCTATGGCAGGGAACAGAATCCATGGAAATCTCACTGTTCTCTTTCGCCCAGACTGACATTACACTTACTGTCCATTGATCGGAGAGAGTCACACGACCCTACCTAACTGCAGTGGATCCAGGAAGGAGCAGAGAACCAGACTTGGCTAAGCACTAAAAAAGTCTTTACCACACTGTTGTATTATCCTTTTGTTAGGAGCAACTCGAATCAGTGGAGAGAACTGTGAGATAATCACAGACCACTAAAGCTGGACTTGATTAGAGAACATCTTCCATTCTCCGATTTTGCACCAGAAGGGACTGAGGCAAAAAGGTCACCCACAATTTCAGAACTAGTTAGAGGTAATACAGTAACTAGAAATTAGGTATCCAGAATCCTTAGCTGGTGAGAATAACAATGGCATGAACCATGCTTCTCATGGCACAGTCCCCCGTCTTTCCACATGTTCTCCTCATCAGTAGGAGGCAGCAGAATCAAATAAAAACAGAGCCTTTATGGGGTCACCCAGAGCCAAGCATTTCATATCAGTTGATTAAATGGAGTAAGAGTCTGTCTAATTTCAGTAGAAATTCTAGTTCTTTGAGCTTTTCATGCAGTATATTATTTGCAATGAGAAATTCAGTAGGCAGGAACTGAATTTTGTTGAGCCCTGAGGCCTGGATTTTAAATTTTTATTAAGTATGTATGTTGCCCTCCTACATCAAGCACAGATTGTTAAATTCTGGTTTGGAAAATTTGCTGGCATTTGTTGGGCATATATGAACTGAATTGCATCCTCTAGCACAGATAGCTTAATTTATATAGGTTATTCTCCCCTATTTATAATTTTTAGTGATGTTGAGAATAGATTTAGAATTTAGCAGTTTAATTTCCCACATTAGTTGAAAACATATTTGGTAGAAGTTTTTAAAGAGAATATTCTTAAGATTGCTTGACTTGGGGTTCAGTTCATAGGATGCCAAAATACACTGAATTGTTTGTCTCTCTTCTTCCTTCACAGTCCCCTCTTTTCATGTACCTAGACCAAACACGCTTCTCTACTCAAGGGCTGTTTGTGCACTGACCTAAGGGGTGACAAAAGAAGGTAGTAGTGGTAAACATCTTATTAGCAGGAGATGGAATCCCTCAGCCTTGACATCAACTAAACCCCAAAGTGCCCTGTGATGAGTGTATACACTCAGATGTTCTTACAGAGCCTTCTGGAGGCACAGCAGCCAGGAGCACAATTCAGGCCATTTCAAGTGCCACTCCACAACCACTTCTGGACATTTCCCAGGAAACTTCCTTCCATCCTCAGAAGCTCCCTCAGCACAGCCTCTCCCACCCTGCCTAGCAGTCTAAATATTCTAATACCATTCCATTTTCTCAAAGTCACCCAATATTAAAAAAAAAAAGAGGAAAAAAGTAAATTAAAATTAGGATTAGGTCTCAGCTTTCTCCTCCTTTTCAAATTCTGCTTCTTTAGCCCTGTACCCTCCAGCTGTGCATGGAGATCAGTGACTTTTCAGATCGAATGCCAACTTCAGTCTGGAAATTGGCTGGCAAGCATTGCCAAGAGACCAGGCAATTGGCCGGTGCCCTCTGATAAATGTATACTTCCCCCTCCCTTCTCTGTAAACCAATTAGCTTCTTGTGCTGGCATGACTCTCCCAAGTCTGAGCCAATGCCCGAAGTGGGAATTCTAGCATGCAACTCAATATGCTCCTCCTTAGCAAAAGGACAGCTAAAGAGAGACTTTAATCACGATGTTATACAAATTAATTGAGAATAGAACAGGTAAGATTTGTCGGAGTAACTAGATCACACTCAAGACAATACCCCTTTGCTTAGAGCCCACAGGAGCATGTGGCATTTGTCTGTGAGACACCATATTTATTCTCGATAACCTTTACTTATTACCTTGCACTAAATTACTGGGACCTTGGTCAATTCATTGAACCTCCCTGGGCTCCACCCCTCTGAGCTGCAGAGTGGGGATCTCATATACTTGTTCTTTCTCACACTGTATAAAAGTGAGACATGGTTAAATGCTTTTACCAATTATAAAATAATATTCAATAATTACAAAGTCATTTATGTTTTGCTGGGGTATTAAAAGGTATAACCATTTGAAAACTAATTTGTAGTATTACTGCATCAGTTAGAATTACACCTGGCTGTGACAGAAAATACAAAAAAACAGGTGCTTCTATATAAAATATGTTCATATTTCTCCAATAAAGTGTCAAGAAATGAAGTTTGTTACTGGTAAGGTAGCTCCAAGAAGGTACCCAAATTTCTTCTAGTCTGACATCCCCACAGTGGCATCTCTATTCTCATAGTCCGAGATGGCCCCTAGACCTCCAGTCCTCACATCTATATTGCTGATACCAGTAAAGAAGAAAGGAACAAAGAGAAAGAAGGGACAGTGGATATATGCAAGCTTGCTTTTAAGGAAATATTCTGAAAACTGCCACACAAACACTTACATTTAAATATCATTAGCCAAACTTTAGTTAAATGGTCACACTCAGAAGCAAGGGAGGATAAGAAATATCTCTTCCAGATATCCATGTATCCAATTAAAAAAATTAAGTGAGCATGGGTTTTAGGGTTGGCAACCAGCAGTTTCTACTCCACCTAATAAAACGGAACATATATATATACACCTTATGATCCAGCAAGGCCATATGTAGTTATATGCTTTATAGAAACTCTCTCATATGACTAGACAGAAAAATGTACAGGGGTTTTCACTGTGGCAGTTTTTCAAAGAATAACATTGTCTAAAGGAAGGGAATGAGTAAATAAATTGGTTTATTCTTACTACAGAACATCATATATCAACATACATGAGCTAATTACTTTCACTTACATAAATCAACATAGATATATCTCGAACAATTTTGAGTGGAAAATAGCAAGTTAAAAAATGTATATGAAGTAGGACACTATTTATGCAAATTTTAAAGATACATGGAACAATACTCTGTACTCTTTATTAATACAATTATATATAGACAAAATGTTTAAAATATATCTGGATGGCAGACCACATATACAACATGGTCCCATAAGATTCTAATATGGTATTTTTTACTGTACCTTTTTATGCTTAGATATGTTTAGATACACAAATTATTTCCATTGTGTTACAATTGCTTACTGTTTTCAGTACAGTAACCTGCTGTACAGGTTTGTCATCTACGAGCAGTAGGCTACACCATATAGCCTAGGTGTGTAGTAGGCTACACCATCTAGGTTTGTGTAAGTACGCTCTATAAGGTTCACACTAGCACGAAAATGCCTAATGACATTTTTCAGAACATGTCTCTCTCACTAAGCAACATATGATTGTAATTACAGAATTCCAGGCAAAATACTTATTGGCTGCAGTTGCTATCTCTTATTGCATTACCTCTGGAGTCATAAGGTAGATGCCAGCTAAATATGTAGAAAGTCAGTAGCGATCCACTTACCCCAAAGAGTGGAATATGTGTACTGACTTCCAAAAATTGCCTGGTGGTTAACCAAAGGTTCTGTACACACCTCTATTTCAGGTGACAGGTTAGAGACTATTACCTATAAGCAAGGTACAGTTTATTTTATATCTTTTGTATTATCTTAAAAGTTTCTTATTCTACTGCTAGAGAATCTTTCCTTCAGCAATTCTATGCCATGCCTTTCCATGCTTGAGAAAAGGAGGGGCATTCAGGGAAAAAATACAGTGAAAGTGAATTTTCACTAGGAGGACACACACTAAAGTTAGAACTAGTTCCTGTAGAAACTCTACCTATAACTAAAGAAAAGTCTACTGCTCATTTTTATTGGGGATTAGTGAAATACATACATCATTTATTGACATAAAGGTCTATATGTAAAGAAACAAATTGATTCCTTTTAAAGTCTTAAAAATCAACCATCCTCTGACTAAATAGAAAAGTTTTCCTAAATAGAAAACCTTTCCAATGATTATTAGCCTGCCTATGAATTTCAGCTTTCAAATGCCATAGGACTATATTCTTGATCTTTGGAGAATGTCTCCCAACAGAGTTCTACATGTAAAAAAGATTCATACAAATTTGGGGGTTCTATTACAGATTCCAAAAGAAGGTCTCTTTCCCTTCTGCTTTTTCTTGGTTTTATGTACAGCAAGCAAGAGTTCACAAAGGAAATTCCATTCCTACTCTAAAAATTGAAATGGCAGCTTCTATTTTAGGTGGTCTTAGCATTACTTATTTTCCAAGGATAAAGAAACCAGCGTTATTTTTCCACATGAAAAGAAGCTAGTGAAAAAAAAATTATAAATTTTGCTTAGTTTCCAATTCGTAAGAGAGTAGTGTCCAGAGAAAAACAAAATGCCTTATTTCGATGTCATTTGAATGTCCAAAGTTGATACCTTTTACAAATGGAGTAGATACCTCTGTGGCTTGCCTGGAGAACTTTCAGAATAGCCTCCAAACTAAAACTATTTTATTCACCAGCTTGCCTCCATACCTGAGATCCCTACTAGTTACATTCATTTTCTGTGCCTCTGCATTCCTTATAAAAACTCTACTACTGCCTTAGGCTGGGCGCAGTGGCTCACACCTGTAATCCCAGCACTTTGAGAGGACGAGGTGGGCAGATCACCTGAAGTCAGGAGTTTGAGAACAGCTTCACCAACATGGAGAAACCCTGTCTACTAAAAATACAAAATTAGCTGGGTGTATAATGCCTACAATCCCAGCTACCCAGGAGGCTGAGGCAGGAGAATCACTTGAACCCCTGAGTCGGAGGTTGCAGTGAGCCAAGATCGCGCCATTGTACTCCAGCCTAGGCAAAAAGAGCGAAACTCCATCTCAAAAAAAAAAAAAAAAAAAAAAAAGAATTCTGCTACTTCCTCCTGCCAACAATGCAGCAAAGTTGACAATATCATATTTGGTAAAATAATATACCTGATTACTAATAGTTTGTTCTTTTATTTTTGAGTAGTGTCTCATTGTGTGTGTGTTCCAAGTGTTAAACATCCATTTACCAGTTGATGGCTATTTGGGTTTTTCCACTTTGGACTATTATGAATAAACCTGGTATGGACATTCACATTTAAGTCTTTTCATGAACACATGCTTTCATTTTTCTTGGATAAATGCCAAGAAGTGACATTGCTGGGTCAAATTGGTAAGTGCATGTTTGACTTTATAGGAAATATCCAAACTGTTTTCCAAAGTGATTTTATCATTGTACATTCCCACCAGTACCGTCGAGGGTTTTAGTTGGCCTATGTCCTCAAAGTAACTTCTAAAAGGAAGATAGAAAAGAATAACAAGAGGAGACAGAGAGTTTAGTGTAATACAAACCGCTTTTACAGGATCTCCCGGTATTGAAAACTACCTCCTAGTAGCTGCCCTTCTCTCTCATCTACCTCACTTGCTTCTGCCTACAGAGGTTCAAAAGATGGATATCACCCTAAAGAGAGTTGCATCCATCCCTTGGCTAAGGCAAAGGTCTGCCTTAGTTTATCAAAGTGTTTGGAGGCTGTTCACCAGTTTTCTTTCTCCTGCCTTTTCAGATTTATCCGCTGTCCTGATTCCTGTTTGCCTACATTTAAGACCTATTTACACCTCCTTTAATCTGAGTTGCGCCTTCCTTGCTTGTCATCTGCCTGACGAACTTGTTTTTATGTTTCTTTTTCATTAGTGCTTGGACTCCGACTTCCCTACTTTGTTCATACTGAAGGTTTTATTTTGACTCTTCTTGAAAAATGGCCTAAGCCAATTTGGTCACACCTATTATGACCTTTTTGGTATATAATTATAGCCACTATATAGAATTATAGCCACAGCCTCTCCAACATGAGCAAGTTTTTAAATTCTCCAAGATATGCTGACTTTTGCAAAACACACTTTTACTAGCAAGCAGGCACAGAACAGTTTATACAACTTGTTTTGTAAGTTCAATGAAACCCTAGTTCTCTGTCCTTTTAAAGATGCCTACCATATCTTGTATAGGAGATTCACCAGAGGCAGATGGATCAATACTAGAAGCAGAATTTCATGTCCCTGATAACCTACCCTGGCATGAATGGCTAGATTCAGGATAGAGTCACAGGCACCATCCTTGAGGGTACAGGCTACAGAAGGTCTGCTAGGTTCTTAATTTCTATTTATGAAAGGGTAGGAAGTGTTTCTAAAATACTCCATCCATTCCACATACCAAGAATACCACTCATTTCACCAATAAAAGCCTACTTTTAGAGTTTATTATGCCAACTAATGAACCACAAATTTCACCAATGAAAACTCCTTTTTTGCTTTCACTCTAACATCTGGTGCTAATCACAGATAATATAACCAAAAGCACTTGTAACAGGCACATTTAGAGCATGGACCTTCTGAAAACATCTCATCTGGCCACTTCTGAAAACCAAATTTCTGATTAGAACAGTATATAGCATGTTACTTAAACTAAGCAGTACCCACATATACACACACTACTTAATTTTTTTTTGAAAAAGTATTTTAAAGTATATTGTAGATACCATAACAACCCTGGAATCCTGCCTTGGAAATAGTGTTTATTGAACACCCACTATATGCCAGGCAGTCTGCTAGGTGTTTTATAATTATACTTAACATTCCTCATCTAGAAAATTATAACTCAAGAAGTAGGTATCATTATGCATACTTATTTTAAAAAGAATTTTAATTTGCCCAAGGTCATTTGAGGCAGTAGAGCTGGTGTTAAAATCAAAGTCTACTGATCCTCACAGTGATTTTTCAGCTAATTTTCAGTTTAAGTGATATAAACACATTTTTTTTCTAGGATTTATTCAAATATATAACTAAGTCACTGTTTTTAAATCTTTGGTTTGTTTTTTAATCCTTCTTATACTTTTTTGGTTAGTATCTAATTAAAGTACTTGTCTCTCTCCCTATCAGAATGGACATACATGCCCAATTTTGCCAATAACTTCCAAAGGATTGTGAAAACTTCCTTTTTCCTCCCAAGGCCCAGCATGAATCTTAGATTAAGAATGTTTGCAACAAAGAATGTTAAATGTTTCTCTACTATAGGATTGCAATGTACATTATTTGTTCTGGCTCTTTTGTTTGCACTTCTGAATGTGTTACTTTTTTATAAGATACAGCAGCTGTTTACCTTCTCTCTAGTGGTGCTTCTTCATTTGGTAATGTCTCTGGACACTATTGATTTGCAAAGACCAGCAGCAGGAACTGCTTTTTGGTGACTACACTTACAAAGTATGTGTTATACCATTTTCCCTGTATTCATATCTCAGAAACTGTACCTGATGACTGTCCAAAGCCACTATGGACATACAGTCTCTAAACCAAAGACCCATCCAAGATTCAGCTGGCCATGAAGTGGCCTCACTTTGATCACCTGATCACAACATCACACCTGTATTTTTCTGTGTCCCTCCAGGTTCTTTAATGCTATTGACATTCTATGAACTTTCCTAGACTCAGTATGCTGGCAGGTCTCTGTGTCATGTGACCAAAGTCTTTCTCTAAAGAAAGTCTGTGAGCCATTGTTAGCATAATTTAAACATTAATTATGAAAACTGCCCCCCAAATGCCATAAAAACAAATAAACCACCGAGCCACTACTGAGCAAACTACCTTACTGCTGAGGCTTAGACAAACAATAGAATGATTAGTAAAAATGCATTACTAGGCTCAGTTATATTTCACATGGTATCTGACAATCCATAGGGCCCACTTCTGTTTCCCCATAAATAAGATATACAATTTAATGGTTCTCTTTTATCTCACACATCATAGCGAATCTGCAAGAACATCACTTAACCTCTTCAAGTCATCTTTCACTGGCTATATACTTACAGATATGAACGAACAGAAATAGTAGCAGCTTTGATTTTTTGCTATGAACTTTTATATTGCCTCTGATAAAGTGAAAATATATATTCCAATATGGAAAAATTGCCAATGCCATACATCAAGAATGATTCTGAAGCTTACTAAAATACAACTAGCTATGGAATTTGGCATTTTTGGTCCATGTTGAATCCATTCCAAAGTATTTCATTACATACAAATTACTAAAAGAACCTCATCTCCATTGAGTTTTTTCAATAATTCAAATCTTCAGGCATATGTAGAAACATTAGCATGAAAATGAAGTGATAATGCAAGGTAATCATACACGAGTTTATTCTAGGCAGAAATTAATGAAAATTGATCTAGTATTATAACTATTCTCTGCTAAAAAGGAACTTTTTTGTTTGAGACAGAGTCTCGCTCTGTCACCCAGGCTGGAGTGCAGTGGCGAGATCTCGGCTCACTTCAAGCTCTGCCTCCCGGGTTCACGCCATTCTCCTGCCTCCCCTCCCAAGTAGCTGGGACTACAGGTGCCCACCACCACGCCCGGCTGATTTTTTGTATTTTTAGTGGAGACGGGGTTTCACTGTGTTAGACAGGATGGTCTCGATCTCCTGACCTCGTGATCCGCCCGCCTCGGCCTCCCAAAGTGCTGGGATTACAGGCTTGAGCCAGCGCGCCCGGCCAGGAACTTCTCTTTTAATCCATTCAATGATGATTCTTAAAAGAGTCCATCCACTATAAGGTGATGATCAAGCACATTTTGGCAACACCAGATACAGGCAACATTTTGAGAAGTTGCATTTTCCTGAAAAATATCTTTGTTTTCCCTGTAACATTTCAAAGCATTTTGATCTTAGTTTTTATCTCATTCTTACTAAACCTTACTAAATTTAAGATTCAATGGGTCAATCAGTTTCTTTCTCATATATAAACTAGGGGCAGTAACAGTAACTACTTAATTTTCTTGTTATACAAATTAAATAAAATAAAAAGCATAGCATAGAAGACTTCTGGTTTCAGCTCCAATATAGAAAAAGCTTGTAAATTGTCAACCCTACCCTTACAACAGAAAAGCCTGGACCAACTACGACCAAAACACGTTTTTGGACCCATTGTTACAACTGAGGTCATAAGGCAAATAAGCACTCCACAATCTAGAGACAGACACACAACTGGAGAGACACAGCCAAGATCCACCTGCCTGGAACATACACATCATATCATACACTTATATGATAATTTTGGTGATGTTGAAGGAGAAGTGTGGACAGCATGAGAGTGAGGAAATTGAGAGTTTCAATGTTAGGAGGGTCCCCATATTTTCATGGGTTTTACTTCCAGGAATCTCAGAAGGTTCTTATGATAAAGATCTGAGAAAGATTTCCTGTTTATATCTCTGGCTCTGGCAAGGGATGGGGAAATGCAGTCATCAACATGAAACAAGCCTCGAGTTTAATTCTTTATAACAAAGACCTATTCTCCAGGAGAGAAAACTTTGCCAAGGAATACTCTGTTTACCTCAGTTCTTATCACTCAATACAACGTAACTGGTTTTCAACAAAAATTACAAGGCTAATAGGAAAGGAAAAGCTAAGTAACTTTGGAAGAAAGCATGGCAGAGTCGTATCTCAGCTAGCTCCTCCCATACCACCAGTCCACATACCTCTAGCATCAGCCCTCTCCTCCTCTCTGTAGCCTTCCTGTCTCATCTAAGGTTAAAAAGTCTATAGAGTAAGTATTAATCCATTCTCATGCTGCTAATAAAGACAAATCCTAGACTGGG